AGTTCGCGCCGCTGCAGCCTCCGGAGGGCCTGGAGGCCGCTGACATGCAGGGGCTGGAGCAGGCTCCCGTACGCAGGCTGCTGGAGAAGGCATACATCAGCCCGCTGGACTTCCGCTCCCCCGAGAACTACATCTTCCTGCCCAAGTGGCTGATGAAGGACCTGGGCCTGGCCCCCAACGAGCAGGTGGACGTGAGCTTCGTGCGCATAAAGCTGGCCGAGTTTGTAGTATTCCAGCCGCTGACCTTGGAGTGGGACGAGCTGATGGAGACCGTGCCCGACCCCAAGGCCCTGCTGGAGCACGAGATCAACAAGTACTCCAGCCTGACAGCGGGCAGCACGATCTACATCGAGATCAAGGGCGTGGAGTACCCTCTGTACGTGAAGCAGACCATGGCAGAGGGGGGCGTGGCGGTCAAGGGCGTGCGGGTGCAGGACTCCGATATACGCACAGACATAGACAGGTCGTTCCTGGACGAGCTGCTGGAGCTGAAGAAGAAGAAGAAGAAGCAAGAGAAGCTGGAGGGTTAGCGGTGCGCATCTGAGGAGGTGTACAGGAGGTGTGTGCAAATGCGCGCATGTGCGCTCCTGGCCTCTCAGTCTCTACTGTACCTGCTGCTCTGCTGGCAACTCTCCCCTGCCTATTTTGTATTATACTGTGCGATGAAACAACTACACATATTCTGGGTAAACAACAGTTTGTGTTTCTTGCTTACGCACTGTTGCATTAACATGTACAAAATGATACACAATTTGTGAGAATGTTTGTGAGTACCGGTATACATACATGTGCTCAAACCTGCTGGCTTCCGTGTCGTCTACCCGTCCTGCAGCAGTATCGCAACGCCCATCACTGCTATCTAAAGGCAACAAGCAAGATATTGGCGAAGAAGACATTTTGAGAACAAGTATGAGTATAATTGACAGAAAATAAGATAATAATAGGCCGATTTTGTATGCTTGACGCAGTCAAACTACGCCTTTTCAGAGGAAGCGCTCCACTTTTTGAAAAGCCCTCCTCACAAACTTTGTGAATCCGAACTTTTTAAATCTGACCACTTCTCACCGACCCGGACACGACTCGCCACTCTTGGGGCAGCTCACTCGCATTCGCGATCGACTTGAACGGCACTCCAAAGCGGTGAAAGCAGTGGAAGCAGTCCAAAGCGGTGAAAATCGAGCATCCTCTTGCCTCTGTTCCTTCCTCCTCTCACATCCGACGATGCCGAAGTTCCATCAGGGTTCCAGCTCCTCCAATGCGGATACGGAGAGCGAGGCGTTCGCCACAGTCAAGATACAGCTCAAGGAAGTCTCGCAGCGGCTGGCGAAGAACAGGGAGGGCTTGAGTGCGGAAGTCATCGCTCAATTCGCGGCGCAGATCAGCGAACTCACACCCACCATCTTCGCAGCGGAGCACTACAGTCGAGCCACCATGCAAGCCAGCGGGTCCGTACTGGGCACCAGAAATAGAGGCGAGGAGGAGAGCTCTGCCCCTGACCTGAAGCGTCTGATCATGCAGCAGGCGGAGGACTTGCACTCCTCCTACGACCCCTCCAAGGACCCCAGAGTGCGAGAGATCACCAGCATCCTGTCTGCGGGCGGGGACATGGGCGACGAAGACCTGGTAGCGATGGACAAGGGGCTGACGGAGAGAGATACCAAGTGCCCCTACACCTCCAAGACGTTCGTGGATCCCATGAGAAAGTACGTACATTCACCACACCCACCACACTGTTACAACACCTTCTTGATCCCTACTGGTCCCTACTCGGTCCCTTCTTCCTCGTTACTACTACTCCTGTGCTAGAGCTGCTGCATCTTACACCGAATCTTACACTGTTGAATGCCTCTCACCCACTCTTTCCTGATCTCCAGCAATGGCGCCTCCGGCGGTAAGGCCTGCATCCACCACATCTCCAGGACGGGTCTGGATGCCATGTTCAATAGCTCCAGAGCAAACGCCGTCAACTGCCCCCAGAGCGGGTGTGCGGGCAAGTGGACCAAGGGGGGGTCTGAGCTGGACACTGTGTTCGACAGGTCGGTGAAGCGGCTGCTGAGAGAGATCGAGATAGAGACGCAGGCGCACGGGGGGGGTGCCAGGTAGGTGTCCGAATGACATAAAAGACGTCTTTTTATCATGATTCCCTGGATCAAATCTGGTCATTTCACCTGCAACACACATACGCTAACTGATTTTTTCTAAACCCCCTTTTATACTGTATGGTTTATCTAATTCGGTCAACGGACGCCTCTCAGCAGCAAGGCCATGGCTGTGGACGACTACGAGGAGGGGACCTACACACAGCTGTAGGGGGGATAACGGTCAGCTGCAGGGCAGCAGTAGTGGCTCTTCTAGGGGGGGATAAATAGCTGTAGGAGGGGGGGGGTATGGGCAGCTGTACCGGTAGTGGGGGATGCACTGAAGGGGTTACATGCAGCTGGGGGGGGGTATGCAGCAGAGGTGGGGGTACAGGCGGCTGAGTGCAGGCAGTTTGCAGGTTGGGTACTGTGCTGCTGTGGGTCGATTGGGGAGGGGGACAGGGGGCATGGGGTACAAATACGTACAGAGCATAGCGCTTCTCCTTCAATAATCAACAAATTTACACGTGACATAACTTACTGACCCACACTTATTCTGACACACTGCTGATCCGACACAATAGCACTGGTACTGGCACTAGCCGACATACGGACTAAAGTGCGCGTAGCTTGCGCAACTTAGTGACTCGCGGTACGGGCACAGGCACACCCAGTGGCTCCCCCATGAGGCCTGCTAGGTGCTGCTCTACTATGCCGTACACTCCCGCTAAAGCCCGCAGCTTCCGCCTGCTCTCGCTTCTCCGCCCCTCCTCCGCCGCCTCCGACTCCTCCACGGACTCTCCTCTCACCTGCATCTGCCTCTTCACCGCAGCGATCATGACGTTCTTGGCGGTGTGCTCTCCCCCCACGAACTCGAACACCTGCGTGTCGTAGCCAGCGATCTCCAGCAGCAGCGCCCTCATCGAGTCAGTCACCATCTCCGTGCTGCGCTCTCGGAATATGCCGTGCTGCATCAGGCCCTCCAGGTCCCCGTAGGTGCCCCCGCTACCACTGCCCCCCTTGCTCTCTATCTGCGGCCGCGCCTCCTTCTGGCAGCAGGGAGCCAGCAGGATGATCTCCGCGCCCCGCCCCACCCCGTCGAAGATAGCGTCATCGCTGGCAGTGTCGCAGGCGTGCAGCGCGATCAGAATGTCACATTTCTCCTTCTCGCCCTGTCCGATGCGCCCCTCTAAGAAGCTCAGTCCGTTGAAGTCGGTCCCCAGTTCCCTGGCTATGGCTAGGCACTGAGACACCAGCTGGGGCCGCAGCTCCACACCCACCGTGCTCACATCCAGAGCCTGGTACTTGCGAGAGAAGTGCGCGTGCGTGGCGAAGGTGAGGTAGCCCGAGCCACTGCCCATGTCCATCACTCTCATGGGGCGACGCTCCCCAGCCCCCTCCTCTGTGTCCCCCTCCTCCTCACCCCCACCCGTGTGCAGCGCGCTGCGGCGATACAGCGCGTCCACAATTTCCACGAACTTCTGGATCTGCCTCAGCTTATCGCTCATGCCCACCCTGGGTCGGCCGCTGTCCGTGGTCACCTTCAGCAGCTGGAGGAAATCCGCCGCAGGGTCAACCTCGTGCTGCTTCTTCCGATCGTGCTGCAGGTCCACAGGGGCCACAGCTCTAGCCTCTCCCGCCCTGGAGCTGCGGAACTTCCCCTTCCCGCGCCGAAGGGTCAATTCGAAGTCCTGGGTGAGTGTCTTGAGCTTGGCTGAGCGGAAGCCACTGTCCAGCAGCTCGCGCACTGCGGCGGCGCACGCGTCTGTCTCCAGGTTCTGCACCTTGTCGTTTGTCTTGTACTTGTAGGTGAACTGCACACGCAGGCCGGCCTTGAGCTGGATGGGGCGGCAGTGCACGGCCTTGAGCTCGTGCATCACGCCCTCTGCGCTCTCGACGTTGCGGTTCTCCGCCAAGCGCAGCTGCCCCAGAGACTCCTCCGCACACGCCCTCGTCAGCTCGGCGATAAATCTATCCATCGGCGCGGGCTCTACAGTTCCCGTCGGCGTTATGCTGTCGATTGCACTGGAGTGCAACTTGCGAGCTACTCGGGTGCACGACAACACCCTGTGGGAAGCTGGCAGATGGTAAGAGGCTGCAGCGGACAGCAGTGCCATCCACACCGCGACGACCAAGCCACTGCGCCACATGATCCGGGTGCGAGTGGGTCGGCGACGATAGGCAAGAGCGACCAAAAGACTCCTCTCGCGATGAAGATTGTGTGGGCATCCAGATTGAAGATAGAAAGCCTCCCAGGCTTGCTGCAACAGTGCAAAGCCAATCGATCTTTTCCCACCAATTTTGCCATATATTTTTTCCGATTTACCTCTTTCCGATCCAAACTCCATCACTCCCCTTTGGAGTGAGAGTTGAGGCTGTGCCTGACCCATATCCTGCAACCAGGAACGTTGACAGCAAACAGAAAAGAGGAGGCTCCCTACTTTGAAATTGATCGAAAGTAAGAATCAACAATTCCAGGAATTCCGTCGCTTTGGAGGGGCGAAACCCCTTTCTCAAAACATTTCTTGTTTAAATGTTGTACAAGTCTAGTCGATCTCAGAGATTAATTCAATGGTGGATTCGCAACAATCATCGATTGAACGGAGGAGAAGGGGGGGTAGGGGTCTGGTTGTCATTTGCTCCACGAGACTCGCCTCTACATGCCTTAAACGTTTCATTATAATTTAGCGTTTCGGACACTTCATGTATCGCACCAAATAAAATTATAGAAAAAGGTGCGCTTGCTGGCTCTGGCTATGCTTGTGGTGGTAGTTCCGTAGTTGTTCCCAGCAAAATGCAGACAACAAATCCCTGGAACTGGAAGACCGACCGCACATTCACTCGTCTGCACAAAACATTTCTTTATATACTTTTGCGTTTCATTATGAAATGTACGTTCCACTCAACGTAAGAAAGGGACCCGCCCACTTAGCACAGTGGTAGTGCATTTGCTTCGTAAGCAAAAGGTCGAGAGTTCGATCCTCTCAGGGGGCTGAAACACTTTTGCCCTCCTGTGTCTTGCCCTTTTGGCTCCGGTCTCTCTCTCTCTCCTCACACAAGTCACCAGAATTTCAGCCTCCGAGAGTATTCGACCTACCTTGCATTGACCTGTGGGCACTGAGTCACCCCTACGCCTCCACACCGCCGCCCCCACGCCGCCACGCCTCCGAGCCTCAATGACCACGAAAATCTCCCACCGCCCGGTTTTCGCCGACGACGAGGTGCTCGCAGCACATGCAGCGGTGAAGCAGAGTGTGTCGATTGCGAACAGCAGTGAAGCTTCGCCCTGCTCGTCGTCTTCATCTGCACAGGTGGCTCATGAAGAGACTCTGGACATGTTGCGCCACAAGTCTGGCTGGCTCTTCTCGGCGTGCCACTCAAAGATCGTCAACGAGAACGAGGGGAAGCGACTATCTCACGCCATTACGGCAAGGCTTTGTGACGGGTTCCCATCCGTTCGGAGCGCCAGGGAGAGAGCGGGTGCGGACTGGCTGCTGGACGACGCCATCCCGGTCAACGAGTGCAGGCTGCACCTCCCACCCATGCTCTTCGGCAATGACATCTTTCGGATCCAGTTCGGCTCCGCGGCGATATCTTTCAACGCGGCTGATGCGCTTCTCTGCTGGGCCGCACAGGTAAGGCAAACCGGCAGGAGCATGCGATATGCAACCTTGAACCGCTGCTGCGCACTAACCGCTTGTCCCCCATCCCGCCCTCCTCCCCAGCATACAGAGGAGGAGACGAGCAGCAAGCCAGTGGACGTCGTGAAGGTGCCCTACGCAGCCAAGTGGACCGGGCGGTCATTCAGTGCAGGACAGGGCGCAGCGCCCGGTACGAACGCAGCTAGTGCAGTGGATGGCGATGCACCCCCACTGTCATTGGAGATATCGAGGCACATCTCTTACGACTGGACCTTCAGCAGCGACTACTGCTGCTCGCTGCTAGACACAGCCGGATCTCGCGTAGAGGTAGAGGACTCCGATCACGCCTCTCCGATCACGCCTGCTCAACTGGAGGCAGAGTCGCAGCCGGAGCAGCTGACTTTCGAGAGAGGGAGTGTGCTGCGGGCCACGTCTCTGAGCGGATTCTCCTCCTCTGTGTGCGGCCAGCTGCAGAGCGTCGAGGCTTCCCAACCGCCCCTCGGCGTGAAGGACGAAACACGAGGTGATGGGGCGGAAGCTGATGGGGGCAGCTGGCGTGTGGAGCCTCGGGAGTGTAGCGGCATCGACTACGACCTGCTAAGGCAGAGAGACGAGCCCATCCTTTTCTTCGACGAGTTCATACTCTACAAGGTAAGTGGAAGAGTGAAAGAGTGAAAGAGTGGAAGAGTAAAAGAGTGAAATTGAAAGCATTTAGTGTTTAATGTGCTTAGTATTTGGTTGCTCAGTGGTAGGTGAACCCTAACATTACTATAACTATATCGTGACCCCCCCCCCTCTCCCCTCAGGACGACCTGGAGGATTGCGGAGACGTGGAGTTCGACGTGAAGCTGCGAGTCATGCCCAGCTGCTGGTTCCTGCTCAGCAGGCACTACCTCAGAGTGGACGGGTCGCTGACTCGCTGCAGAGAGACGCGCATGTTCCACAGGTTCACAGGGGGTAAAGGCGGAGGGGAGGCAGGGGAGGCAGGGGATGCGGGAGCAGGGGTGGAGGTGCAGATGGAGGTGTGCTGGCGAGAGCTCCGCGCTGCAGTGGACGGGCCTGATGCAAAAGTAGCGGAGGAGTCCAGTGTGTTTAGCAGGGTGCAGAGCCAGGCAGGGCAGGTAGGTGTCGGCACCCGGCCGCAGGGAACCACGTCTGGGGGCACTGGGGGGGCTGGGGGGGTGGAGCAGAGGTCGACAGATGTGTTGCTGCGTAGCGACCAGGGGAAGACGCAGTCTCACCTGCTGCCCTTAGTGAACGACGCCAGCGGGGTGCACCAGTTCCATGCGTTAGTGTGGGCGAAGGACTAGCAGTGGTAGCAGTGGCAGCAGTGGCAGTAGCAGTGGCGATTAAATCATCCCCGCCTAGCACCCGCAGCCCTGCCCCCCAGCAAAGCATACATTGTAATGCACACATTTTGAATAAAGAGGACCGATTCCAGCACAGAATTGTGATTAATCGTTAAAAACGAATCATGTGTACTCACTTCAGCTCCCCCCCTTCTTCCCCTTCATGCCCCGTCTCCTACGCCGTTGTGTCCAGGTGCTCACTGGCCAGCCAGGGGCAGGGCGGTTCCTGCTGCATTGCATACTCCGCCGTCCCAGGGGCAGGGCAGGTCCAGTCCGCGTAGGCACTGCAGCGTCTGCAGGGCACCCATGCGGGACGCCTCCTCACAGGTAGAGGCATCCCAGGGAGCTCGCACTCCCTGTAGCTTGCGAGCCAGTACCAGACCCTCGTGTTGCAGGAAGCAGGAGGTTGCTGGGACCGCAGCCAGAGCAGCACCTCACGCTCGCACTCCCCGATGCCGGTGAGGTAGTAGCAGACGTCCTTACACTCCTACACTCCGAGAACAGCTTCCAGATCTGCCAGTGACAAGTAGGGCGGGTGTTCGAAGCAAGCCAGCATCGTCACCACGCAGTCCGGGTCCACGCTGGCATCCATCGCACTGATTCTATCCGCCACGGCGCACTCCAGCACGTGCTGCTGCTGCGCTCCCCCGATCAACTCTTCCAGTAAATCAATATCTATTCGCAGGTCCTTCTGCAGCCCAGGGTCTGATCTGCAGGCCTCGAGAGTGGAAGCAGCGCCCAGCATCGCGTCATTCTGCGCCGCGCGGAGCTCAGTCATGTCAGAGGACAGCTCGGAAAGCCGATCGTACAACTGGAAGGTCGTCCGCGACGACTTCACATCCATTCCAATGGCCTTCTGCAGCGATTCGTTGGACAAGTAGGTGAGCTGGTTCCGTAGATTCACCATCTCCTGAACACACTTCAGCAAGCCGACCCTCGATTCCTTGTACTTGCGCAGCCATTGCTGTATCTCAGAGACGGCGTCCATTGAAAGTACGAGGAAGGCGACAAGGCGTCAAGGGAATGGCGAAGGGGGCGACAGGTAGATCACTGATCCTGTCTCTGGTAGAGTCAGGTGGGTCAGATGGGTCTCTCTTCAAGAATTTGGGAAAGAATGTCGTATCTTATATGTTACTTGTGAACCGAAGGCGCCAACGACCAGATCTGAGGAGAGTGAGAGAGGCAATATACTGTGTGCGGGGTTTGTGATATTTTCGATTTCATGAAAAGATGATTTTGGGTGACTCATCTACAGATCACTCAACTTGCAAATATCTCTTCATACATTTTTGTGCAAGCACCTCTTTACTACCACCAACTTCCTCCATATTGACTGAT